GCCAACTTTCCGGCGACCTCGAACTGGACGAGCACCCAGATTGATGGACAGCGTCGAGGATTTCTTAGCATGTGGCCAACACTACGACTCAACTTTCGGAATGTCCGGTGTATTTTAAGAGGATTGTGTAGTTTAGTTTTGTTAATTATTGCAGAGATTGATCTTTTTTCAGAGATATCTCTCACTTTTTTTTTATTTTATTAGTCTTTGGAGCTGTGGTATATTTCTTGTTGTAGACTTGTTTATTTCTACGCTGTCATCATCCACTACTCTTTTCTCACTTCTATTCAGTCCATCATCATAACGTTCTTCATTCTACCACCATCTCTATCTTATTTTTTTCATCTCTTTATTCATCAAAATCTATTCTTGTTTTATATTTTCGCTATCATCGTTTTTGTCACACTTCACCTCTTTTTATCTTTTTTATTCATCTCTTGTATTTCACGATCTTCATCATCATCTACTATCTATTTTACCATCATCATGTATATCGCCATCGCCACCACCACTCTTCATTCATCTTACGCGAGTCGCTATCTCATGCATTAGATGTTATCATCATCTCACCACCACTATCACTATCCCCATAGTATTATCATTATGTATTATTTTGGATAATTATATTTTTAGTGTATTATTATTTATGTCAGCTTTCGTGGATTTTTATTCTATTATCATAATTATCATTATTGTGTTTTTTGTTGTTTGTTAGTTACTGTACTGAAGATTATCTGCTCTGTCTTAGTTTGTTTTTAGCATTAAACTTTCCTGTTAGTCAGGAAAAAGGCAATTCTTTTTTTTTCCGAAAAATTTTTTTTTTTTGAGTGTGGATTGGCAGAGCTTAACTGTTTATGTCAGTGTTCCAGCAACACTGTGCGCAATAATTTTGGTGTTTACATGAATCCTGGACGTTAGGAGGATAACTCAAATCATATTTTTATTCTCTTTATCTACTCTCCCCTAGTTTTGTTGTTTTTTTTTTTTTTTTTTCATGATCCGGATTCTGTTCAAGAGACGTCATTAAAATTATGACGAAAATTTGAGTTTGGGATCTTGTTTATCTAAGCCCTTACAGTGCTATGAAAGTGTAGTGGTTTTTCGGCCGATAAAGATGAGGATCAATGATTGGCGAAAAGGATTACTTAACAACGCGGGATAGGATACACGGGTGTCCCAGCCTCTTAGAGAGGTGATTTTATTGAATTCTTCATCATCAACATCAGGGGGCTGACGCCGACGGCTCGCATAACCGGATGACCCTTCGCTTCCACCTACAGGTCCCTTCAGTTAGACCCCAGCGGTCGCCCATCCTAGTTCTTCACGGCTTATCGATCTCTTGGCATCATCGCTTCCTAGCGTCTCTGATCCTTGCGCCCCTCCTAGCTTATAGTACTTAGCCATCAGAAAGTCCTGATGCGGTTATTAAGCGAGCGGTGTTTGCCGTTGTGGTTGTTGATGATTGAAGAATTACATCAAATCACCTCTCTCGAGCACGCTGCGACCCCGTATCTCTATCCCGCGTTGTTAAGTAATCCTTTGAAAATCATTCTCTCTATCTTTCGGGATCACCACCCACACTTTAATAGCATGTAGGGCTTAGACATACTTCTGATAAAAAAAACTCAAATTTCTGTTCATAATTTTATGAGTTAATCTGAACAGAATCCGGATCATGAAAAAAAAAAAAAAAAAAAAAAACAACAGAAAGATAGGGGGAGAGTAAGATAAAGAGATATAAAAATATGTACTTTTTGAGTTATCCTGCTAACCGTCCAGGATCCGGATCATGATCCAGATCACCAAAATTCAATGGCATCTAAGTTGGGCTGAGACACCTCTGGTAAAAATGTCGTTACTTTTTTTTGTTCATAACTATTTGAGTTCTGCTAAAAAACAAAACCTTCTTGACGGAGATAATCTCAGTAACAGTACTAACAACAACAACAACAATAATGATAATTATGATAATGATAATGATACAGCTGCTACTACTACCACTAAAAATATAATTATCACAAAAATAATAACAATAATGATAATAACTATGGGGATAGTGATAGTGGTGGTGACGATGATGATAACAATTAATGATGAAGATGGTGGTGATGATGAGGTGGTGGTGGCGATGGCGATATAATGATGATGGTAATGATGTGACGATGATGATGAAGATCGTGATGGTGATGATGAGGTGGTGGTGACGACGATGATAGCGATTGATGATTGTGAATAGAGTGATGATGAGATGGTGGTGATGGCGTTATGATGATGGTGATGGTGGAGGTAGTGGTGATGACAGCCGCAAAATAAACAAGTCTACAGCTATACAAGCTCCAAAAGACTTCTCAGTGGGTCTCTGCGTCAATCTCTGAACATTTCCTCTCCATCCTCTCCTCCAGCATTCCCGGTTGAGTCGTAGTGTTGGCCACCATGCTGCTCTCGACCGCTGTCAATCAATCTGGGTGCTCGGTCCAGTTCGAGGTCGACGGAAAGTTGGCGGAGCGTGAACAGGAATCGTGGGCTGAGCGGAATCATAGAAATCCACCTCTTTGGGGAATTGAAATTTTCTTCTCTTGCTTCATCCTCCACCAACCTATTATTCATTGTTTCAAAAGATTGCTGATATTTCACGATAATGCAACAGAATTTTCTGTTTAGACGGCGGTCGTAAGTGACCAAAAGGCATTTTTGTAGAGACCTAAAAGGGGACATAATTTTCTTTCTTTACAGATCCAGGCAAAGCTTTGTGGTGGGGAAAGGAAGCAAGCTTGGATAACGGAAATTTCGGCGATATTATTAGAATTATGAAGTATAGCACTTAAGGAGAGCAGGGAGATCTAATGTGTATGAGGAATCTTTGGATTCCAACATTCCAAGGATTCGGGAACTGCAGGGGATGTAGGTAAAAACCAGGTATCTTTATGGTTTTATTGCCGAGTACATCACACATTTATGCTGAAGACTAAATCTTAGACATACAAGTAAAATAGTCGATAAAGGTACGCATGTGTACATAAATAAAGTATAGTGTTGAAACAAACAGATAATCATGTATGGATTCATCATTAATATCCATGTGTCCATTTTCCTTGTTTACACACAAAAGGAAAAAAATAATAAATAAACATTGCCATTGCACTATCAACATACAATCCCATTCCATTGCCACTCCTTTCCCATAAATCCTCGCATTCAAAATAAATCAAATGTTTGATTCCTTTTCCATGAACTCTCTCTCGTCATGAATTAAATGGTTGACTTCCGCCTTAGCCTGTTCCTTCCTTTTTTCCTTCAAAGGATGTCCCTCATAAATAACATCCTTAAATCAAAATAACGCACAGCAATTCATTAAAGAAAACACCTTTCGACAATCCAACCCTTCCTAGAGAGTCACTAACCCCTTCCTCATTGCCCTCCCCCCCCCCACCTTTCTCTTCCTTCCATCTACCATCATCCTATAATCATTGTTCCGTCAAGGATTGCGAGGATGTACATAGAGACGTGGATGAGGTCGAGGTGCAAGTGGAAGGCCACGAGCAACTCATCCGGGGGAAGGGCGGATCTATGTTTCCATCCTTTGATGCGCTGCATATCGATCAGCAGGCAGAAGACGAAGAGGACGGCCCACAGGGTAATGTACTTCATGTTGATCATCGCGTTTGACCAAATGACTATCGGGATGAAGATCAGCTGGGGGACGGCCATTCTGAAGACGACGAAGATCGCCAGCATTGTGAAGTCGTATTTGACCTGTTGGGAGAGACAGATAAACAGATAGAATAAGGGAGAGAAAGAGAAGGGAAAGAGAGAAAGAGAGTTATTAATGAAAACTGTTTCTGAAAAAAGGAAGCATTATTCATGTAAAATGTGAATAAGTAAAGTACTAATATTAATTAATTTGTGGTAATATACTACATTGCCTTTACTGTCACTAGTAAAATTGCACAAGTAAAACATGAAAAACAATATTAGTATTATACAATGAAGTCAAAGGAGTCACCACCATAGCGAGAATAAACTCAATGTAAGGGGTTAGGTGTTGTGAGGTTCGCCCACTGTTAGCCATCAGATATGAATGTAAGAGGTTGGCCTTAGTGTTGGGGAATGAAAGGGGTCTTGGCTTAGCGACTTATTGAGGTATATGTGAAACCCCATCAGAGACCCGACACTTTGGGTGCCAAGTGTCTAAAGTGAAAACAAAGTGAACACCTGCGTCGCTGAAGGAGGAAGGCAACTGCCGGGGTCATAGGTGTGAAGTGGGTACCCTCCGCCCTTTTGCGTTTTCTTAACAAAAAACAATACAATTTTACGAAAACACCACAATGGCAGCTCAAAAATATGCGCTGACCCAATATATGTACTTTATGCTTCTTGTGCTCATCTGTATGTACTTAAAAAAACGTCCTGTCTTTATTTCCATGCAAAGGAGCATATTTAATAAGGTATTACCGGTCTTAGGATCCGTATGAGGCAAGCAGACAGAGAGGGAAGGGTTGATATGTCAAAGAGAGAGATAAAGAGGGGAAGGGGCAGAGAGGGGATAGAGAGGAGAGAATGTAAAAGAGAAAAAGAGAGACATGACAGAGAGAGAGAAAAAAAAATACAGAGAGGGGGATGAGACGGAGGGAAAGCTATTTAGTTCCCTTCTCCCACTTCTTCCTAACCTCCCCTACCTTTCTTCTTTTCCCCATTATTCCCATCCTCTTCGCTCTCTTCTATCTAGCTCTCCACCTTTCCCTCCTTTCCCTTCCTCTATTTCCCTCCACCACCAGCTTCTCACCTAAAAAGAGAAAAGAGTCATACTTGGAATGTATCCCTCTTTCTTTCCGCCCACAAACATCCCTCCCTCCTTCCCTCTCCATCACTCCCTTCTTCCGTCCCTCCATTTCCCTCCACCACCACCTTACCCAGGAAGCCAAGACAGAGAGGCCCATCAACACCACCACCATGGTGAGCGCAATGGTCACGTCAAGGGCCTCCTTGCAATAGCTCATGTCCCCGAGCATGTAGGCCTCGCAGATGCGACCACGAGCAGCACTATGTACTTATCCGGCGACTTCTTCCTCAGGTTGCCACTGTGGACGAGGGCGAGCATCATGGCGCACATCACGCCTAAGGAGAACCCGAATGTCCTTAAGTTGTTTTCGGCGTAGACGCTGAACGAGGGCACCCGCACGAACATGGCGGCCAGTCCAAAGGTGACAATGAGCTGCATGGTCAAGGTGGTGAGCACTCTCCTGTGGGCGGGAGAAAGGGTAGCTTAGTGTGTTCCCTTGAATTTCTTTGAGAAAATATCCAAATTAGCTTTCGCTCACACACTCAAGCTATACGCCTTGGACAAAGTAAGAGAGGGAGAGCAAAAGAGAGAAGGAAACAGGGATATAACAGAAGAGAAAAGGATATTGAATCAGTGGGAAAAAAACATTCAGAATCAGAATAACCTCACCTAATGAAGCCCAACCACATAAGTTCATTTCTGAGGCCATCATGGATCCTGTCTGCACCTATGGCGTACATGCTTAATTCGATTTCGGTCTTTTTACCAGGGGATAGCTGAAAAAAAAAAAAAACATGGGAAATTAGCAAAGCGTGTTGCTGAAATAAAGTGAATAAAGAATTTATTTGGTATTAACATTAACAATACTGAGACAACACTATGAGCAGCGACAATTATGACAACAGTAAAGGCAATAACACCGCGCTTAACTCATTCCAGTGGAATGACGCCACTCTTGTCTCTCTACGTTAGCCAGAATATGGAGGTTAAACTACGCTTCTGTTTTTATAATAACTGTTCCCTGATTTTTTTCCCCTTCAAATGATCGTTTGAGTAATATTTAGTTTAGGTTGGCATATAATTTGCCAACGATGGCTTGGCGCCAACCCTGGGCCGCTTGCTTGCAAAGCCAGCGCTCCATCTTTGAGCTTTTGCCACCTCATTTAGTCTAGATAAGCCTATAATTTCCAAACGATGAGTCAACGGTTTTCATTTCCTGATATCTTTTCCCTTCCTCAAAAATCTTTCTTACCCAACTCTGGTACACAATTCACTTAAATACATAAATCTTCAAGACTCTTTGCGTTCAGTGCATGGATATATGCAAAATAAAACGCATCGGAATAGAAGATGGTAATAAAAAGATTAATCAAATCTGAGGAAAAAAAGATGAAGACATGCTTGTTTCTTACTTTTTCTAACTGAATATATATATGCATATACATGTAATTTCCCTAAAACACTCCAATTAAACCCAAATTTCAACCCACATCCATCATACCTTATTCCTCTGAAAATGCTAAATAATGGAACGGAAAAAAATTAAACTCTCACCGACTACACCGCAGTACACAATGACGAAACGGTTTTCGTTATCATATTTACCCCAAAATTCAGAGAGGTTAGTTAGCTTATATAAAGTTATTTGCACTGCATAACCGTTTCATTATTAATAAATGAGCCTTAGATATTCCTGGTCGTAGATTACTTATAAAAAAGGAATAAGTATTGGCGCATTTTACATTTAGTAATCACGTATCTACGTGCTTAAATTATTTCATTTTCCATTTGCACTTGGCTGATATCAATGATAAGTTTTGCCACGTCATTCTTTTATTAATATTATTGTCATGCTGCACCGTCCTCTTTTGATTGTTGGATTACATAAAAATAACTATGGATATTATCTGCAATATCAACTCATCTATGATTAATAACTTGAAACTTTGAACCACGAATTTGTAAACGATTTTTACGACTATAAAATGAATGAGCTTTCAAAACTTTCAAAACGAATTTTTTCTTTTTTTTCTTTTATAATCAGTCTAAATTAACAAGAGATATTAATTGAAAATGTTAGCATCAAAACAAAGATCTTTCCAAATATTTCATAACTTTCCTTTTATTTCAACATATTAAAAAGCGAGATTTGAAACCTCGGAAGTGCAACAATAATATAAAGTCTATAGTTCAAACACGTCGAAGATGGACACCCTATTGCAGATAATATTCATAGTAATTATTAATTATCATGCAATCAAACAAGACCAAAAAAGGACAGCATGCCTTAAGTGTCAATAATAATAAAAGAATGACGTGGCAAAACTTATCATTGATATCAGCCAAGAACAAATGGAAAATGAAATAATTTAAGCACGTAGATGTATGATTACTGAATGTAAAATGAAAAATGCGCCAATACTTATTCGTTTTTATAAGTACTCTACGATTATGAATTCCTTGTTTATTAATTGCAAATTCAACAGTTATGTAGTGGAAATAAACTTGCATAAGATGATTAACCCCTTTGTATTTTGAGGTAAGTATGAGAACGCAAACCGTTTCCAGTCATTGTGTTTTACGCTGTGGTGTGTGGATGTCCTACGTTTTCCGATCCATTATTTAGCATTTTCAGCGGAATAAGGTATGATGGATGGTGCTGACATTTCGGTTTAATTTGTAAGAGAAATTATGGTAAATCTAAGTAAGACAGACGCGCCTATTATTATTTTTTCCTCCTATCCCCTTCACTCTTGGGTGACCCGTGGAGAATGGGGGGTTGGAGGTAGGGGGGGGGCATACACACGAAAAAAAAAGCAAAATCCGAACGAGATTCCGGCGGCGCGCCGTTGCGAGATCGCCGGTGTCAGTGTTGCCAAAATCCCGACATTTCTCAACCTAACCTAACCAAAATCCCGACATTTCTCAACCTAACCAATCTAACCTAACCCTAACCCTCAACCTAACCTAACCTAACCCTCAACCTAGCCTAACCAAACCAAACTTAACCTAACCTAACCTAACCTAACCCTAACCTAACTAACCTAACCTAACCTAACCTAACCTAACCTAACCTAACCTAACCTAACCTAGCCTAACCCCAAACCAAACCAAACCAAACTAGCCTAGCCTAGCCTAGCCTAGCCTAACCTAACCTAACCTAACCTAACCTAACCTAACCTAACCTAACCTAACCTAACCTAACCTAACCTAACTAACCTAACCTAACCTAGCCTAGCCTAGCCTAGCCTAGCCTAGCCTAACCAAACCAAACCAAACCAAACCAAACCAAACCAAACCAAGCCTAGCCTAGCCTAGCCTAACCAAACAAACCAAACCTAACCTAGCCTAGCCTAGCCTAGCCTAGCCTAGCCTAGCCTAACCTAGCCTAACCTAACCTAACCTAACCTAACCTAACCTAACCTAAGCCTAACCAACCTAACCTAACCTAACCTAACCTAACCTAACCTAACCTAACCTAACCTAACCTAACCCCTAGCCTAGCCTAACCTAACCTAACCTAACCTAACCTAACCTAACCTAACCTAGCCTAGCCTAGCCTAACCTAACCTAACCTAACCCTCAACCTAGCCTAACCCAACCCAACCCGGACCCCTTTCCCTAGACATATTTCCCGACCCCTCACCTGGGGATATTTTGCAGTACAAACGAAGCATACCTTCCAAACCCCCGTATTTTGTATTTTGCAGAAAGCTCACAGTACATTCGAGACGGTTCGAGACAACGAGGTTTGTGGACTGTAGTGAGGCAACTTTTGAATTTCAATTAAAGCACAATCTTTGAGGTCCCCACAATTTTATTAACTTCCCCGACATGTACGAACTCTAGTCAATAATTATGTTATACTTTCCTTTGTAAATATAGTGCGGCTGCCTAAATTAGTATTGCCGAAAAGGTATGGTGGATGGTGCTGACATTTCGGTTTAATTTGTAAGAGAAATTATATGTATATTATGTGTATAAAGAAAGAAAAGTATGTCTTCGCCGTTTTTTTTTATTCTTCTTTTGATTACCCATTTCCTTTTCTATTCCGAGTGCATTTTATTTTCAATATATCCGTGCACTGAACGCAAAGAGTGTCTTCTTGAAGATTTATATATTTAAGGGAATTGTATACCAGAGGTAGGTAAGAAAGAGATTTTCGAGTAAGGGAGAAGAGATATCAGGAAATGAAAACCGCTGACCCATAGTTTGGAAATTATTGGCTAATAAACTAAAAGAGAAGGCAAAAGCTCAGAGGTAGAGCGCTGGCTTTGCAATCACGTGACCCAGGGTTTGCGCCCAGCGGCCCCACTCAGTCGTGAATGAGTATTGGTTTAACAGGTATAACAGTATAACAGGTGGAAAGGAACTGGCCACCCTACAGCTTCATGTTTCTCTACGAGCATGCCCCCTACATCCACATGGATATGGGACGACTTCAACATTAAACTAGACTAAAAGAAAAGAAAAGAAAAAGATCAGGGAACGGTTATAAAAAGGGCGTAATTTAAACCAGTGGCGTCCTTCCACAGGAATGGGTTAACAAGCGCGGTGTTATTACCTTTCTTATTGGGCGCAGAATAGTTACAGCAGCCGTATTCGCTTATCCATATTCTAGAGTTACGGCACTCCACTGCGCATGCGCATAATCTGATCACTATGGCAATTACTTACGTTTGATGAGCCCTTTACCCATTTCCAACCTAATCTAACCCAACCTAACTGGATAGGTTAGATTAGATTGGTTAAGTTAGGTTAGGTTGGTTATTCGTGTCGGCCGCCATTTTTGTAGAATGCGAAACCCAAATCCAAACATCCACCGCAAGCTCAAAAGGCACTGCCGTAGCACTGCCGCAGATAGTGCTGATTACGGCGGCCGTAACAATAGATAGTGCGTTGTTTATTGTTGCCATAATCGTGGCTGCTGGTAGTGATGTCTCAATATCGTTCATGTTATTATCAAATCTATTCTTTATTCACTTTATTTCAGCAACAGGCTTTGCTAATTTCCCGCCGTTTTTTTTTTTTTTCAGCTATCTCCTGGCCCAAAAACCGAAGTCGAATTAAACATGTACTCCGTAAGTGCAGACAGGAGCCCTGCTACCTTCAGAGGAGAATCCATTCGGTTGAGCTTCTTTGGGTGAGGTTATACTGATTGTGAATGTGTTTTTTTTCCACTGATTCAATATCTTGTTCTCTTCTGTTATATCCCTGTTTCCTTCTCTCTCGTTTGCTCTCCATGTCTTACGCTGTCCAAGCACTGATCTAAAAAATAAAGACTGAATCGAGAATCTATTGTTTACTAGGTGAAGCCTGCCAAATTCAGTGGTCGCCATCTTACTCGGACCCACAGAGCTGTGGGGCCGAGTGAAAAGGCCTGTTCAGAATAGAATGTCAGAGGATAATTTAACGGATAATCTAACAGTCAAAATTTGACTGATTTACATCTACCGTTGAGAATTAATAGTGTTTTTGCAGCATGATAGAAATAGGCCGAGAAAGGTTCTGAGTTCACATTTTGGCGTAGTGGAGCGGCCAAGACCCTCCGATAAACAAATTTTAGGTTTTTATTTACTATCTAAATTGATTTCCCAAGCTACAGAAACTATTAGAATTTTCCAGGCTGGATCCTGTTAAACCTAGTCAAGAATGTCTGGTGTATGCCAGTCTGGTAAGTCAAGGATGTCATTTAAATGAAAAAAAAAAAAAAAAATACCTACCATCTTTTGGAGTGGCAATACCATTCCATGGCGCAACTCTAAGTCACTGGAAAGCTGGACTACAAAGGAGGTTTGGCAACTAGCATATTTCCTTATCTGGGTAAATTTGATTAAATAAATTAAAAAGCACAAGTGACTACTATTTTCTGTCATAACTTATTTCAGAGTCAAACTTTTTGTAGGAGTCATGCAGTTGTTCCATCGCAGTAACTAAAAGCTACTTACGAGTGAAATATCCTTCGAAACTGCCTTTTTCGGACAGATTCTTCGTCGCTGCTGTCTTCATTGTCACTTTTCCCCTTTCTCTTCCGTTTTACGCAACCAAATTCACAACACTGCGTTCCCCGTTCACCAGTCATGATTGCTTCAGGTCCGAGTAACATGGCGCCAATAAAAAAAATCGCGGTTTTCAAGAGCTCGTGCTCGCAAACAGTTTGTTGCTCGATTCTTTTTTTTTTTTTTTTTTTTTCTTTCTTTTTTTTCCTTTTTTTTATTTTTTAGATCAGTGTGTCCAAGGCGTATAGCTTGACTGCGTTCCTGTTTGTCTATCTGTCATTCTTTACAGTTGAGAGCGAAAAAGAAGTGTGAGCGAAAGCTAATTTGGATATTTTCTCACAAAGAAATTCAAGGGAACACACTAAGCTACCCTTTCCCCCGCCCACAGGAGAGTGCTCACCGTCTTGGCCCCGCAGCTCCTGGTCACCTTTGGACTGGCGGCCATGTTCGTGCGGGTGTCCTCGTTCAGCGCCTACGCCCACAGGAACCCAGGGACATTCGGGTTCTCCTTAAGCGTGATGTGCGCCATGATGCTCGCCCTCGTCTTCTGTTGCAACCTGAGGAAGAAGTCGCCGGATAAGTACATAATGCTGCTCGTGGTCGCCATCTGCGAGGCCTACATGCTCGGGGACATGAGCTCTTGCAAGGAGGACGTTGACATGGCCATTGTGGTCACGATGACGGTGATGCTGCTTCTCTCTGTCTTCGCTTTCTGGGTAAGGAGGGGATGGTGGAGGGAGAGAAGAAGGGAGTGAAGGGAAGGAGGGAGGGATGTGGGTGGGCGGAAAGAAAGAGGGATAAATTCCAAGTATGACACTTTTCTCTTTTTAGGTGAGAAGTTGGTGGTGGAGGGAAATGGAGTGAAGGAAGAAGGGGGTGATGGAGAGGGAAGGAGGGAGGGATGTGGGTGGACGGAAAGAAAGAGGGATAAATTCCAAGTATTACACTTTTCTCTTTTTAGGCGAGAAGTTGGTGGTGGAGGGAAATAGAGGAAGGGAGGGAAAGAAGAAAGGATGAAGGAAGGGAGAGGGTGAGATGCGAGGAAAGTGAAAGAGAAGGAAAGGGACAAAGGGAAGAGAAGGAGTGAAAGGTGGAGAGCAAGATAGAATGGAGCAAAGAGGGTAGGAAGAAAGGTAGGGGAGGGTAGGAAGAAGTGGGAGATAGAAGAGAATTGAATAGAAGGAGAAATCGGAAGAGGTAAAAGAGGAAGGAGTAAAAAAGAGAGGGTGAGATAGGAGGGATTTCATTTGACTTCATTTGTCTTGAAAACAAATGAGATGAATGTTTACATCTCAAAAGCGTAAGACAGACTGTATTTTGGTTCTGATTGCTCTCTTTTTGAAAAATCTCATTTTAGCCTTCTTTTGTTGGTTTAAAAGTCCAACGCGTTTGGAGTTTGACTAACGACGTTATTGCTCGTGGTAAACGCTGATCGACTGTTGAAAGTACTGTCAGGCATAAGGCAAGCCAAGGAAAAACTATCTTTCACATTACACACAGTATACCCAGTCCTTTCAACAATACCATAAGAGCACGAATGACTGCACACAGCTTATCCGGAGACATACATATATATATATATATATATATATATATATATATATATATTATATATATATATATATATATATATATATATATATATATATATATATATATATATACATATATATATATATATAATATATACATATATACATATATATATATATATATATATA